TCCCTCCCTCCCTCCCTCCCTTCCTTCCTTCCTTCCTTCCTTCCTTCCTTCCTTCCTTCCTTCCTTCCTTCCTTCCTTCATTCCTCCTTCCTTTCTCTCCTCTCTCTCTCTCTCTCTCTCTCTCTCTCTCTCTCTCTCTCTCTCTCTCTCTCTCTCTCTCTCTCCTGGAACTCATTAAAGTTCATGTAAGGTAACACACACACACACACACACACACACACACACACACACACACACACAGAGAGAGAGAGAGAGAGAGAGAGAGAGAGAGAGAGAGAGAGAGGAGAGAGACCCTGCACTTAAAGAAAAACAGCTCATGTATTTGAAAGACAGCAAGTTGGCAAGGTACATGGAGTGTTTGGAGGTTAAAAAAAAAGCAGGGGGTGGGGGTTGGGGTGGGGGAGGTGAAATTATTTTAATCTCATAGAGTAATTATTAAAATATGTAAACTCATGTGTAAATTGATTTGAAACAGGATGGGCTCAAATTAGTAATCTTCTACCTTAGCCTCCCAAATGCTAGGATTACATAGGTGTGCTGCAATATTTGTTTCCAACATTGTTTTCTTAAAGTGGGTTCTGCAATGCCAAAGAACATTTTACAAAGATCAGGGGCTTTTCTAAGTGGGACCCACTTAGTTCTCTGCAGTATATGAACTGGAGGCCTCTGTAGTCCTCCTTATAAACCCTGTTATTAGGTGATATCAGTCTGAATCCTGCCATCTCACGCTCTAGTTGCATGATTTGTCTCGAGGTCCGCTCACACTGCTGGACTGCCATCTCCCGTTTTAGACACGTGGCAGGCTTGCATCTCGGGAAGTGATTCATGGTCATGTGACTTTAGGGAGGGGAGGACTCAAGCACAAAGCACCAAATTCTCTTTGCTTTGCATGGCAACTAGCTTCATTTCAGACAGCACATACGCCGTGTTCTACGCCCCTGAGTGAAAACTGCAAAGAGCAAAGTCCCAGACGTGTCACGGTGGCACGAATGACAAATAAGCATCTGTTGTTTGGAGCCACTGAGGTCTTGTGGCTGCTGATTGTTATGATCTCACTGCCCTCACTAACACAGTGACCGTAGACAGACATTTAACGTCTGTTAGTTTTCTTATCTATGGTATAATAATAGCATGTAGTGGGAGTTTGTGCGAATACTAAGGAAGTTTATTCAGTTAAAGCACTTAGCACATGGCCAGCCCTTAATTAGAGTTGCTTACTATTATTTTCATCATTTTGTAGAATTGTGTAGAAAGACATATGTATTTTTAAATCACATGCTTACTCCCTTTAACACACTCCTTTAAAAAAATCGTTTCTTGACATATTCTAAAATGTGTCATGTACTTCTGTACCGTAACTAGTTTCTAAGAGTTTAGAATCATCATTTGGGAGGTCAGTTAATATGTAACTGGACTATGAGGTGCATGACAGGATGTAGTACAGGAGACTGGACTGTGCAGACAGTCTGTGTTGTAGTGTTTTCAATTTGTTTCTATGTACTTCCATGGAATCTTTTTTCTGTTATTTTTGCTGTTTTCAGTGTGCTTTAGTCAAAATTTATTTTAAATGTCTTTGAAGCAGCTTTAATTCTGCTGTAATATTTGAAAAATATTAACCAGTTTTGTTAGAATTATGAACAACTTAAAAGAAATTAGTATGAAGTAAGCCATTTGGCAAATAGAAATTGCTATAATTTGTTGATTATATTCTTTGAATAGAAATGCCTATTGATATTTTTTAAAAAATATTGTGTGTATGTGTGTGTGTGTGTGTGTGAGAGAGAGAGAGAGAGAGAAAGAGAGAGAGAGAGAGGCACAGAGGCAGAAAGTCTTTTCTATTTCTGTGAAGAATGATATTGGAATTTTAATTAAGATTGTATAGAAATTCTTTTTATAAAGGAGAATCTTTGCACTTATGCTGTCTTTTCCAGCTCTCTTTCCCTCCCTTCTGTCCTCTCTCTGTCTCTGTATCTCTTTACCTCTTTTTCTCTCTCACTCCCTCCCCTTTCTAATAAAACTAATAATAAAAAAAGAGAATCTTCATAATTTTAAGTCTCCCAATTTATGCCTGCTCTGCTTTTTCCTATCAGTTCTTATAAATCTGGAATAAACCATGCCACAGCTTGCATACTTTGCTGTGTTGAAACTCCATTTGTCAAATGAGCCCATAACTTTTAAATTCAGCTCCCTTCTAAGTCTTAGGACATAGAAAAAACTGCAGATGATTTTTGTCATATTATAGCATAACTAGTCTCTAGTCTAATTCCCAATATAGTCCTTATTTCCACTGGAAACTTTATAGCATGCCTTTTTACTACTGACACTTCTATAAGCATTCTGGTCTGAATTCTCAACAAATTCTCCAGTTAACACTGCTTACAATGTCTGATACTTTCTCCAAAGTTTTCCAAATCTCTACTACAAGCCAATTCTTGTAGACAACTCTTAAGCACATTATGGTCAGGTTGGTAATGTCAATGTCTCTATTTCTTTGGTACCAACTTTCTGTGTTTGTTGCTTTCCTTGTTACTAGGACAAAATTAAATGTCCGGCACAAAGGTTAAAAGGAAAAAAGATTTACTTTGCTTCCAATTGCAGAGGTTTCTGCCTGCGATGGCTTGGCCCCTGCTTCACCCCGTGTGCCTGGACGGAACATTGTGATGACAGGAGTGTGTGCAAGTGGGAAGCAGGGACGAAAGAAGGGACTAGGGACAAGGCCACACACCACGCTACAAATGCGGGCCAGAGCCCCACCCTTGGAACACTCTACTACATCCCCAAATATTGCCACAAGCTGATGAGCAAGTGATGAACACACGGGGCTGTGGGGACATTTTATTCTCAAAGCACAAGAGAGCACTGACAAGGTAGCAAAGTTTCTAATTCATCTTGTCTAATGAGACAAGGAAAGGGAATATTCTGTACATGTATGATTTGTTTTTCTGTATTGGCATGCGTTTCTCCCCCCATGAGTCCTGCTGAACTTGCGCTAAGAGAACAGAGGTGAGTTAAGAGGGTCCTAGTTTTACTTACCCAATCAAGGCACTTGGATTTTTTCCTTGAGTTTTAATCTTTAGTGACAGAATGACTGAAATCACTGGAATGGAATGATTAAGGCAGTAAAATGGAAGGAAAAAGCCAATGTACCCATTTTTATCAGGTCCCTTCCCCGAACTGCTGCGTGGTCTCTAACCTCCTCCAGGGAACCTGGGGTACTTCATTCCTATTTATTCCACTTTCTTTTGACCAGTACACTTCTGTATAAGAAACTTCTGCATTTTAAATTTCACAGGAAGAATGAACACTAACAGATATTTTAAATGTAAATTTTAATTAAAATATATAAAACAAGAAGATACATCTCATTACATCAGAACTTGAATGCTTTTGAATAAAGAAAATAAGTAAACTTTTCTACTTAAGAAAAACACGTAGCATTTAATGATCATGTCACTCTCGCCAACTACCATGCTAAATTCTTAAAAAATAAAACAGATATGTGAGTATGTATATAGTTAATTGATTCTACTCATATTTAGATTGTATATAGAGGTAAATATTTTTACATTTTGGTGATACAGCAGATGTGACATTAAGATTTTCTTTTTATTTGCATACGAAGAAAGTCACATTGAGAGTGACTAATTTGGCAAAGCCTGAGCTGGAAAATGGTAAAGCCAGAATATCTACCTAGGTTTGTTGGATTTATTCACCCAATTACATTAAAGTTGACATAATTGTGGGGAGCCTCAGTTACAAGATCACTCTGGTCAAGACATTTGGATCCTTAAAAAAAAAGAAACTACTGTTCTGAGGGAAAATCAGAATAAATAATAATAAAAAACAATCAATAGACTTTTAGAATCTCAAAATTTGGAATGGCTTTAAGATTAGTCTACATTTACAAGATTCTGTCCATGTTATTTTCAAAGGGAGATCTTTAATTTAGCTACTTTAAATGATTCTAAGGTTATAAGTTTAAATTTTTATTTTATTTTCCAAGTTTATTTGTAATAAACTATTACAAATCCCAAAGTCACATAATCCATTATAGTATTGTGGAAATTATTATTATATAACTAAAATTTATTATAAATTATTAGCTTACTATAACTGTATGCTTTCTTAAGATCCCAAATATTTAATGATTGAAAATTAGCCAACATAGAACATTTTTACAAAAAGAATATCTAAAGTATGTTAGTGCTCTTAAGTATTTAAAGTTCTAAAACCTTACTGCAACTTTGTAATAAAAAGTGCCAGTGTAGCTGAGTGGTGGTGGCGCATGCCTTTAATCCCAGCACTGGGGAGGCAGAGGCAGGTGGATCTCTGTGAGTTCGAGGTCAGCCTGGTCTACAGAGTGAGTTCCAGGACAGCCTCCAAACAATACAGAGAAACCCTGTCTCAAAAAACCCAAAAACAAAAACCAAAAAAAAAAAAAGTGCCAGGGTTTGGTTGTCTCAGGTTGGTGTTTTACAGTGTTTCCATCAATGAGCACTTCCCGTTCTCAAAGTTCAGTTTTGAAGTTTGTACAGAATTTTCTGGGAAATAATTCCTCCTCTCAAAAGAACGACTCATCTCAATTAATGTGAACTATCTAATTAAATGTAGTTACTTTAACTGCATCTATGCTTAAGCACTACTGTAGTGAAGTAAATAGATGTCAACATATATGTGTCTTCCATGACTTTCCCTGGGGAAAAGCAAAGCAATACCTCTTACTTGGGTCTGTGTGAGCTGTCAGGCTCTAGGTTCTTGGGGATGTAAAACAATGAAACATGCACAAACAGCTAACACTACTGGTGGTGGAACTGTTTCGTAACTTTGCAACACCATGCATGTGAAGGTAATGCATGCCATAATTGTGAGCATATGTATTACTCATCATATATATTACACATATGATTAGTAAGGTCTTTCCCTTGGTAGGCTGCTTTAAGGACAGTTTGGGCCTCACTGGGCTTGTCTAAGATGATCTTGTTTATCTCTCTCTGTACCAGGATGTACCTGACCACAAATTATCCGCTGGGGAAGTGCTGAAGAGTGGCCAACCAGAAAGAGGTAGACTCACGTTGTTCAAGGGGAAGTTGTCCCAGGTCACTGGAGTCTCTTTTTCATAGGGCCTATGGCTATGGCTTCTGTCTCTGTTTCTATCATACCTCATATTTACCTAAGAGAGGCTACTAATAGACCAAAGAAATGCCTCTGCCCAAGTCCAGGTTGGTGAACCAACGAGTTTATTGAGGTTTACTTATAGGAATATGGGCAAGGAATATGGGTAATGAGAAACTGAAAAGTAACCGCACCCAGCATGGGTGACAGCTTCACAAAAGTAGACTCAAGCCTTCCCTTAACCTCCCACCACCTGTATACTGTCCACACCAAGAGCTTGTGTAGCTAAGGAGAGCCTGGGATCCTCCACTCTGCCCCTTCTACAGTGGGATTTTTTACTTTGCTTGCTTTTGCTGCTACCAGAGATTAAATCTAAGTCCTTCATTCATGCCAGTCAAGAGTCACTGAGCTACATACCCCCAAGGGGAGAGAGAACGCTTGCAATCCATTACCATTACCAAGGCCTGGCCATCAGTGTCCATAGATGGACTAGGAATTGACAAGGACATGTCACCAGAGCAATTTAGCCTCATGTTAGACATAGTCTAACTACAGCCATGTTGTTAAAGATGAGACAGGTTCTTGCAACAAGAAAAGGCCTTTTTCTTGCCCCAAGGGAAGGATAGTCTCTGCTCTGGGAAGACCCTGGCCACTGACACCCTGGCTCTGCTGGAGAGAGCTGCCCCTCCCCCACCAACACAGACAACTGACCTTTTTGTCCAACTTGTATGTTCAGGATTAAGGAAACTGCCAAACTTCCTTGGATCGAAGACTTCTGACTACTCAGGAGTCGGGGTGGGGACCAGGGCTGGAGCTCCCCGTGTATCCCTGTCCCAGGGACACCACTCTGTCATATCCGTATGTCTGGGAGCCAGACTGTCCAGGGAACCAGCCCTTCTTTTCTATATACTCAGCCACAAGGCTACCCGTGTCCCCCACTGTGCCCAGCTGCCCTTTTGTAAGTATGTGAAAAGGAAAAATGCAAACGTCAGAGTAGAGTCTGCTGAAGCCTTCCCTCCAACCAGGACTTTTAACCATGAGATAATATACAGAGACCTTGTTGGTTTTCGCAGACTCTGTGTGGCTGTGCAATTTCTCTACATTTAGAAATATTAAAGATTTATGTAGCTACTAAAAAAGAAGAGGCCTTGTTATTGTTTCTTAGCATATGTTAACTGTAGAAAGTGAGGACCTCACTATGACTCTGCCATGTATGCACATAGCGTATGTGGATTATATCTACCCCTTCCCTTCTCTCTGCTCACTCCCACTCCACTGCATCATGGTGGAGGAGAACTTAATTATGCATATAATTATATATCACGTCTTCTTTTTCCATTCATCTTTTGGTGGACACCTAGACTGATCCCTTTATTTGGTTATCATGAATACTACTGAAATAAACAGCATATGCAGGCATGTCTGTATTAGGTTGATTTTGATGCTTTTAGTATGTACACAGATGTGATTTATCTATTGCATCTGGAAGTAACTTTTAACTTAAACATTTGCCTAGACACTTTGAGATCTTCCTGTGGTGGGAATGCAGCTAAGCCTCCCGTGCACTGGTCTCCGTATCTGCACAAAAATGGTAGAAAGCAATGTTTTGGTTTTCTTTGGGAACCCTTGCAAGCATTAAACACGGTTCTTGGAATCATAGTTCTTCAGTACGAGCGGACCTCTCTATTCATGCCACTTTCTCTTAACTCACAACACACAATGCAGCGAGGAAGGAGCAGAGATTGAACAAGACCTTGTGCTAGTCAGGATTCTGCAGAGAATAAGGAAAAATGTGATTATCACTATTATCTCCCTGCATATTGGTGGTGTTTATTTTAAGAAACTAACTAACTAACTCATGTCATTGGTTACGTGCAAGGCAGACTGGCTGGCCAGGTAGAAGACACTCAAGCAGAAACAGCTTCACTCTGGAGGTGAAATTCCTTCTACTTTAGGAAACCGCAGGTCTTTGCCTGTAACCAATTACTGGGACAGGCAACATTAGCAAAAGGATTGCTTTACTTAACAGTCAACAGCTTGACCATGCTAACTATCTCCAAGTACCTTCTCAGCAACGCCGACACAATCTGTGTATGGGTGGCTGGGGAAGGGAGGGGCCCACACACCCTCTGTCCTTCTCCCAGTTGGTCTAGTCCTTCTTCCTCAGTGCTGGGCAGAGGACCTTGTGCTTCCCACAAACTAGACAAAAGAAGATTTGATGACTTCTTGGAAAATTGGTGGTAAGAAGTCAGTATTGAAAGGGTTTGGTGGAAGCTTCTAACAAGTAGCTCTTGTGTGGTCAGTGTGAAGGGTGAGAATTTTGGGGGAAAATGAGGCCCTTGGTTTGATTTTATTCAAAACAACAAGCATGAAGTTTTGCTTTGAGATGTTATGTATGTGAACTGTTCTAGGCATTTTTTTCTGACTTTGGCTCAAGCCTATAATCTTCAGTCACAAATTAATACTATCATCCTAGGGGGATGTCCCAGTGCTGTGGTGTGTATGTGTTGGGGGTATCTGCATCTCTTTTTTAACTTTCAAAACCTCTGAAATGTGTTTTTCATATGGTTGCTTTGTGGGGTTCTCTGACATAAAACAGGGACAGTGATGAAAGCATTAAGTCATGATAAGGATAAAATCATTTACTCTTTAAAGTTTTTGAAAGTATTAAAAGTATAGCTCATGGAAAGTGTAAGGACATAGCGATGCTATTAGAGAAGCTCACTTTAGAATTTTGTGTGACAACTTAGTTAAATAAAAGAAGTAAGAATTAAAAAACACCCAAGACTTATGCAACAGAATAAGGAGAAATTTGTTTCCAAGTTTACCTTCAGCAGTATTGGGGAGTTAATAAAATCTTATGGGAATAATTTTGCTTATCTCCTAGAAAGCCTCACTAATGAAAAAAATTGAAGTATCACACTCATTATGTGTAACACACACACACGCACACACACACACATATATATACATACACGTATATGTGCATACATGCACACATATATGAGGTACTTTGTCTTAAACATTAAAGTTTTTCTTCCCAAAGGCATTCCATATATACATAGTGATGGACTGTGAAATGTAGCGTTGAAACACTAAATAAGAAAGACTTTCCTTTCAGAGAACTTCTAGCTAAGAACTGAAATTACTAAAAACTCAGATTGATACCACTTGAAAATATGTAGGAAGATTAACCATGCTTGCCATGAGGGATTGCCAAAAAACAGATGTGGAAAAGAAAGTTTAGCAGCCTGTATGTTGTTTCTCTAGAATACTAGCAAAATGTATATTATTTTAAAGGTTTGCCACATATTTATATTACATCCAAGCTAGCACCTAACAAGTTAAGTTTTTATAATTTACCTATGGATAAAACAACAATCCCAAAACAAATCTGGGTGAAGAGTGGGAGCAAGACACATTGAAGAACTCTTCTTTAAAAGTAAAAGTTAAACCATTTTTTTCCTCTGAAAAATCATGGAACAATTTCAGTGACTGTTCACTTCCTAGTTGAGGTCACCTTGAAAGCTATGTAATAGAGCCATTTGGAGTCCCCAATAATTTCCCAAGATTCCTTTCTCTGCTATTCCCAAGCATGAAAGAAAGTGCTTTGTATGGTTCCAAAGAGAACTCCAGAGACCATCAGGTGAAGTGACTGCATCTGATTGGTTAGTTTTTTTTTTTTTTTTTGGCTAGGAGCAAGATGACAGACCATCTTAGAACTTCTACTTCTGGTCTGTCACCATAAAAACAGATAAATTTGCCTTTCTACTAATACTGTCTCCTTAATGCTATTTTGTTGAAGCAAAGACTTCAAAACAACTTGGCCTTGTTTTCACATGAAAAAGAAAAAAAAGTCTATTTTTCCTTGTCTGTGCTCATTTTCTCAGAACTTGATAGGACACTTCTCATGCCAGAGCAATTGCAGGGCTGCAGCTGGGAGCCAGGCCTTCTGGCGTGGTTAAATGTCATTCGCTAGGTCATAGTTTTCCTAATTTATTCATTAACAGATTCTCTGCTCCCGAGTCTCAGTAAGATTTCTGGCTGGGTCAGTAAACCAGTGCTGGGCCTTAAGTTTACTAGTGTGACACAGCTTCACATCCCCTAACTGAGGTTTTAAAAATTTTGGTTTTGTGTCATACTCTGCTCAAACTACTGTAACAAATCACCAATATCTAGGTGGCTCATGTGATGGTCACGGCAGTAGAGGTTGGGAAGTCTGAAGTGGAGGCACATGATTTCCTGTTTGTGGGGCTGGTCTTGGTTTAGTAGAGGTTGGGAAGTCTGAAGTGGAGGCACATGATTTCCTGTCTGTGGGGCTGGTCTTGGTTTAGAAGTGGCCATCTTCCCTTATGCTCACACAGAGGGAAGAAAGGAAGAGCAAGAACTCCCATAGCTCTCCTTGGAAAGGCCGAGCTTGCCACTAAGGCTACTGTGTAATGTATCTGCTTTTTCACGTCTTTGGGATACCTTGGGAAGAAAAACTTCACATGTTAAGGACAAAGTACCTCATTCCATCCTTCCCACTCCAGTCACATAGGCACCCAGAAACTTTGGAGAATGAGGTTCCCTGTTTGACTGTTTTCAACTTGGCTTCTTGCTTTTAAAATGAATTTTTCTGTTACTTAAAATAGATGACTCAAGCCTTGAAGGTTGTGATGTCAATGTCCAGTTTTTGCAGTCCCTCACCCCCATTAAAGCACAAAGACGTCTTGTGTGCTGAAAAAGCAGGGGCTGAAGGGGAGCATGACCTGCGCCCCCAGATGTGAAGAGCATCGAGAAGACGCAGGAAGGCATCACTATCACTTGCCGGTTCTCCTAGGCTGTCGGGTTTTCAGCAGAACAGAATGGAAAGCCGTTCTATAGTAAACATGACTCATGGTCGTGTTGCTAAGTCTTGAAGAAAAAGGTTTAGGAAACCTTCCGGAAATATCTGTTTGTGTTTCCCT